CAATTAAACAGTGCATTGTCCCTTAAGTGTATTTAAGGCCAGGTTCTGGTCATATCTGGATTGTAAGAAGGCCAGAGTATGAGGCACAGACTAATCTCTGCGGTAGAATTGCCTGTGTTCACACCAGGCAAAGAAGAATATCCAGGTACAATAATAGATATTTTTGGAAGTGGCTTTTTTGCTTTTAGCAATTAGGAGACAGACTGAATTAGAGACCTCTCTCTCTCCATCAAGACCTTCAACAGCCATGCCATTAAAGCCAGAGACAGAGAAGCAGGGGCCCTGATATAGCAGGTGTGGTCTATTTGGAAGAGGCCTGGAGATGTTTCCTAGACGTTTGTCTGCGAGTATGCCTGTGTGCCAGGTTTAGGTCAGTTTGGTGCAATGAGAATCACGGTTTCTTTCTCTTGCTGATTGCTGGATTTTGACTTGGCAGTTGAGGTCTGGATTGAGCATTGCAGAGCTCTGCATTTTTAGAACTTACAAGCTCCTGAGTAAGGGAATTTTGGATCCTTCCACTGTGGGAGAGGGAATTTTCCTCCTGTGAAACCTTTGATACATTTGTCAAGTGCCTCATAATAGAGGTGTGACATGCTTTATATATCACAGGGATCCAAGCTTGCATGAATACTTTATCCTAGTGGCAGCATGGGTTTTGTTCAACTATAAATAAGCAGCAAACAGATACGCTCAACAGTCAGCATGATAATTACTGATGTCTAATGTATTCTGTACAGTTTTAGAAGCTTGATATAATTAAAAGGCAAAATACTCAGGAGATGCATGCTATCTTTAAAATATGCATATTTTCCTTTATTAAATATACCATCATATAATAAGCAATGTATATTTTATATCAGAAAGCACATATATAAACAGATACATTTCATATAATTTTGACTGAATGGTCACAAAACCATGAATTTCACCATTCCTGGGAACTCTGCACAACCAAGCTTTTGGTAGAATACAAATACTATTTTCTGGCTGCATAACCACTGAATGCTCCCTATCCCCTGAACAAGCTTCTTACTCCAAAATTCAGTCTTATTTTTACCAATCATAAGTGGCATAGGGACTGGGAGGACAGATTGAAAAATGGATTGGTTGCATGAATAGCACTACCTCACCTTGTCTGTTATACTTCCTGTACACACCTTGCTTTCCTCTTGCTCCCTCCATATATACATATACTCATTCTTTATTGAATATGTACGGTCAGGTAACAACATGCTTCAGCATGTTCATTGTGTGGCAGTCTGTGCATTACAAGCATAAATGGTATTTATACATATATGCATATTATTATTATTATTATTATACAGGATTTATATAGCGCCATCAGTTTGCTCAGCGCTTTACAATATAACGGGAGACAATACAGCAACAATACAGTTCAATACAAAAGGGAGTTGAGGGCCCTGCTCCTTGGAGCTTACAATCTAGGAGGGAGGGGCTAGTGGTACAAAAGGTAACTGTGGGGGGTGGACTGGTTGGAAGAGTAGAAGATTCCATTATTAGCTGAGGGGAGGATAGGCATCCTTGAAGAGATAGGTTTTCAGATATCGCCTAAAAGTGAAGTGAGTAGGTGATAGTCTGACAAATTGAGGTAGAGAGTTCCAGAGGATGGGTAATATATATATATATATATATATATATATATATATATATATAAAAACAGTGGGATACCCCTGCCACCCCTTCCACCACCCTGCAAGGGTCAAATGCTCGTTTACATTTAGGCACCAGAAAAAAAGAAGGACTTATACTTACCTTATCCCTCACTCCCCTGGCAGCCAGAACTTAAATTTTCTCCCTGATGCTCGAGGCTTTGGATGGTGCCACAGCGTTCTCACATACAGTACAATGCAGGACTATTGGACCTACATTGTACTTGATGATTTCAGAGTGCCTGCAACCACTACAGCACCTTAGAGAAGAGACTATAGTACCCAGGCTTAAGGCATGAAGGGAGCTTGTTTGACTAAGAGACTAGGCAAGTACAAATCCTTTATACTGGTATCCTGAACATGAATGGTTATTCTTTGCAGTACAGAGGGAGTCCAATGGAGAGGATTTTTTTCCCCCGGAGTTCAGAATGAGGTTAGCACAAAGTCGTAAGCAGCGGTCAAGAAACTCTGATGTCATTCAGAAATATCTCAAACTGATGGAAGAATTTTGTATTCAGTGGGGCATAAAAGTATTTAGTCAGCCACTAATTGTGCAAGTTCTCCGACTTAAAAAGATGAGAGAGGCCTATAATTGGCATCATAGGTAGACCTCAACTATGAGAGACAAAATGAGAAAAAAAAATCCAGATTTTGAGTGCAAACCTCCTTCCATCAGCAAGGGCATTGAAGATGAAACGTGGCTGGGCCTTCCAACATGACAATGATCCCAAACAAACCGCCCGGACAACGAAGGAGTGGCTTCGTAAGAAGCATTTCAAGGTCCTGGAGTGGCCTAGCCAGTCTCCAGATCTCAACCCCATAGAAAACCTTTGGAGGGACTTGAAAGTCCGTGTTGCCCAGCGACAGCCCCAAAACATCACTGCTCTAGAGGAGATCTGCATGGAGGTATGTGCCAACATACCAGCAACAGTGTGTGCCAACCTTGTGAAGACTTACAGGAAACGTTTGACCTCTGTCATTGCCAACAAAGGATATATAACAAATTATTGAGATGAACTTTTGATATTGACCAAATACGTATTTGCCACCATAATTTGCAAATAATGGTGTTATATATACTGTGATTCCTTGTGAGCTATTATGAAGTGAGGCATTCAGTGGGTATACTACAATTATCTACTTGTCTAAATGTGATTGGTGCGCTGGCACTTACACAAACTCACTTAATAGTGTAAAATCAGCAATATGGGTATCTTTATAGTGCCGCGCTCCTATTTGTGTATCTATAAATCTATATCCAATCTGTTCTCATTCTGATTGGTAAATAACTAAATAAATCAAATATAAATCATTGTGATAAGTGATAGTCCATAGACTGATATATCTGGATAATTACCAATATATAATAGTACATTCATCAAAAGACCTTAAGTTCATGTGGTGGATGATAATCAATAGTGAATAAATAAATAAATGGTAATAAACATATGAGTGTAATTACTGCCACTCTAAATTATATGTGATCAATCAAACCCTAATTGTGCAAAAAAACATATTTGAATGTGCACGTGCATAAGTTCATAAACAAATACAGTCTTTAGAAAGTGCAAAAAGTGCAGGTGATTCCTTAATTCCAGGTGTCTTGTGGTCTCCCTATGTGCTCACCTTTATATTTGCCTGAATAAATTCAGGCAAATAGACTTTTTGATCCTTCCAGGATCGGTGGGTTAGTATTCATGTGTTAGATATTCCAAGGTGTAGATATAGGTGCTCCTGTTCTCTCCTCCTTCTTCTTATTCAGCTGCTCATACACCGATAATAAGATCAGCTCTATCTCCTAATTCCCCTCCAGGGGTCACCTCCTTCTCATATCCTCCTTCCACCAATGTGGAGTTTGAGGGTCAGATGTGGAAGAAAAGAAAGGAAACCATAGTGTCTTATCAATTTCCCCCTGATGAAGTCACGTGACCCTGTGACGATACGCGTAGGGGAGGGGCTCTGACGTCACGACGTTGTATCGGAGAGGCTCGGCGATTCCAGTGAAGGCAGAGGCAGGCAAGGAGGGAGAGCAGTGGTAGAGGATTACTTACTGTTGACTGGGATATCTATGCTGCCCTGGACCACCAAGGAACTGCATATTGCTGTTTAATACCACTACAGGCAGAAATACATTTCAATATTCTAAAAGGATAAGACACTATGGTTTCCTTTTTTTTCTTCCACATCTGACCCTCAAACTCCAAATCATGTGATTGTCTGGATTTTTTTTCTCATTTTGTCTCTCATAGTTGAGGTCTACCTATGATGCCAATTACAGGCCTCTCTCATCTTTATAAGTGGGAGAACTTGCACAATTGGTGGCTGACTAAATACTTTTTTGCCCCACTGTATGTCCAGCTGTACAAGTTCTGGGATCACACTATGGTGTTGTGGTAATGCGTCATACTGCACCATGTATATGTTAGTGCATTGCTGTATTACTCATTTTCATTGTGTGTTGCCATGCATCATGTTCCTGAAAAAGAAGGTCATGTTTGGTTTTGGCTGTACTGGGGTGCAGGCAGCTAATTAAAATCAAATTTGGCTGCCTTAGTGCACAGTTTCAGGAAACCTAAAATTCCTCTCTTGAAGTGGGCCTACAGTCCAGCAGTGGACTGTTACTCAGCATCCTCATTTCCAGTGCAGGGCTGTGGTCCCTGCATCTGTCTTGGTGTCATTGAAGACCTTAGATCTCTGGAGCATAGGAGAGAAGAGGCTGGGGTGACAAGTCTAACAGCATGGGGAAGCCTGCAGGAGTGGAAGATCGGATAATTAAAAGTGCTTTTCCAACTCCTCAAGACCGTAAACAGCAGTTAACCCTTGGCAGTGCAGGCACAGCTCCACTGCAAGAGAGGATGTTTAAGTTTCCTGGATTTCAGCTTTATTGCAAAGCATGTTAATGCTAGTGCACTCAGTCTTACCTCGGTTCACATCTGTGCGGGTGGTGCCGCTGCAGGACCCTCACAAATACCTACAGCTGCACCACCCACACAGAGGAATGCGGGACCTGCAGGCGGGTGCCATTAATTTTAATGGCACGCCGCTCGCACTGGAAATCGCAGCCATACTGGGAACCTTTGTTCCGTGCGGGCTGCGATTTCAAAAGTAGTGCAGGGACTTCTTCCTTTTCAAATAAATGGGCTCTTTGGCCCGCACATACATACAGATGTGAACCAGAGCTTAATGTAAGGCATAATCACCATACAAAAAACTAAAGTTTTCCTTCATTAAAAGAAAAACTTCAAAAACATCAGGCTTGTCTGCACAACATAAAAAAAAGAATACAAAAGAATTACAAATCAACTAGTCTCAATAATATCAGATACTCACATCAAGATTTTGCAAGCAGTACCAACAGAATGTGTGTTTGCAGTTTTTGCACATCATTTGTGCACAGCCTTCATTCCTCTCAATGTAAATATGACACACAGGACATTGCTTGATACAAGCATCTACATCTGTACAGGCAGACCTGAAAAGGAAGCAGGTCAAAATAAATGTGTCAATCAAAATACTTTTGTCATTTATTAGCCAAAAAAATACAACCGAACTGTTTAAATGCAGTGCCCAGCATGTTCTGCTTTTATGGATACGTTCGCTTAAACAAAACATCGGCAGTTGCTTATCTTGCACAGACACACAAGTCTTGTTTCCTTTGTTTTGACTACTTTTAAATTACGATATTCACCTTGATTCCATATCACATTGCATAACAATAATGATACCAGGCTCTGTGGAATTGTACATACACCCATCTGCTATGTGAGAAATGCACGAAGTGTAGCTGTATGTGTGCCCAAATAAATGTAATTATTCTAGCTAAACACTAAACAAACAGCTAAGTACACAGAAGAAGTACATACAAGGGAGTGGTTTTACCTGCCCTGGAAAAGATTTGTATTTCTGTCCATCCAGACCACAGTGTCATACCACACAGCTCCTGTTTGGGGAGAAGGTCTGATTTTTCTTTGCTGCAGTTCAGCAACACTAAAAGGTGGGTGCACATAGATCGAAATTTGGCTGGTTCAGCAAGAAACAGCTGAAATTCTGTGTGTGGCGGCCTGTTTGACAAATGTCGATTGGAAGATCGACTTCTGTTGAACGGGACGGTCGGAAAACTTTCATTCAATCAGCAGCTACAGCCAATTGGCTGCAGTGCCGATCAGTGTATTCTGTCAGTGGAGGAGTCCCAGCTGTCAGAACACAATAGCACAGCAGGGAGCATTCCTTGTCCACCTGTGGATGGGAGAATCCATTTGCTAGCTGAATGACAAAAAAACAAAACAAAAAATAATGGAGCATGTATATCCAGTGTAACGTGGTTGAAAACACTGGCCTATATCCAGTGAAGTGACTAACCTCAGAACCCGCTATTTCGTGATCAGTTCTCTAGACATTCCTTCGACAGTATCAGGCGGTTAAACATTGTATCTATTTGTTTCCATTTAGAGACCGCGGATTTTTTTATTCGGAATACACAGAGATGAAACAAATCTTCCTACATAAGTTGTACCTGTTTATCTGCTGAAATTTGTCCTGTACATCCTTGTAAAACTCAGAAGGGAAAATCATTTTTCACAAAGCAGGAGGCAGGGAGCTGCAGTTACACACTGTATAAGAGTTCTGGGAGCTGATTGGAGGGAAGAGACATACTCCTTCACACAGCACACAGGAACAGAGCTGAGGCTGTCAATCACATTCTGTGTGCTGGAGGTCCCTCCCCTTTCACCTTTTTAGCTCTTGGTGTCACTAAAACTTGTCAGAAGTGACTCGTGCTGATAACAGTGGAACTAGACAGCAGAGAGAAATGATGCTTAGTGCTTTGGAGAAAGGAAAAGAAAAAACACTCTAGAAATACGTGCTTTCTTCAGATTCCATGTCTGAGGTTTACAACCACCTTAAGGCTTTTTAGATGTACAACATTGTTGTGCCTCTGAAACATGATCCGTGTTCAGAGCGCTTTTCAGAGGTGTTTTACAGGCGCCCATATGAAGCCTCCATACTGCCTCTTTTAACCCCAGTAAATTGCACACTAAGCTAGCTTTGTGGAAAATTTTGTGATAGAAAAAAACATTGAGTCGTGATGCTACTGCCAAAATGAGATTTAAAAATGGCAATGATTGTGGACAACCAAATACTCTTTTACCAAGAGGAATAATGTGTTTGATAAAAATAATAGCAAACATCCCCCTTTCAGCTGAGTGTCAGACCTGCAGTAAGGTTGGCGCCATCATTTCTCCCATCATCTGCTGATCAGAGAAATTCTTTTATTTAAGGTACAATAACTGGTTCAATATTAGTGATGGCTGAAGATTTGTATGCCCTTGATTACTACATTTACGCTCATTGTGACTTTTTTTCTTGTGCTGCTATTCCTATGCAACTTAAAAGTGTTACTAAACTCACAACAGTAAAATCAGTCTGTATATGCAGTAAAGCATGCTTGTTATACTCACTGTGGAACCTAAGGGGTTAATCCTCTGCATTGTGCAAACAGGCTGTTAAATCCTGTCTTCTTTAATCCTCCCCTTATTCCACTGTCCTGACTCATCACCTGATAGAACAGAGCCTTGGGGACAAGCTGCACATTCTCAGTTTGGTGTGTATTGCGAGTTTTTTTTTTTTTTTTTTTCCTTGCTTGGGAGAGAGCATGTGATCAGCACAGGGCCAATCAGCACTGTCCAGGCAGAGGGTCAGGGGCCCTGCAGTATCATAGGACAGTGAGAGGAGAATGAAAACTACTCCTACAAGCTTTAACTAGTGCTCAGCTGGGCACTGATAGAAGCCACAAGACTGCTCTAACTGCTGATGAGAAAAAGTATTTATCAGTTTATATTTACTAAAATAATTGCATTTCCATGTTCTGTGTAATGTGGGAGACCAGATATAGTGAATCCAGGGTCCTGTGTTTAGTAACACAATAAATCCCCTTTTTTCTACAAAGCTTGATTTGGTAGATGTACAGTATGTACCATATATAAAGCAGTTTACCGTATCCTTTTGGAAATTTATTTTGTATAACTGTGATTTATAACTGATGTTATCATGCTTTTTGGGCACAATTCACCAAGCGGTATCCTACCGTATCCGAGTATGCAGTAGGATACCGCACAGCATTTTTCAAAAAAAAATTTGAATTCAGTAAAAAACGCTACTAAAATACCGCATGATTTATATTGTCAAGTCATGCTGTATATTAGTAGTAAAACCACGCGTTAATGTTTCAGCCATCAGCATGGCAGGTCACGAAAGGGGGGGGGGGGGGGAGCAAGCGCCCCCCCCCTCCTGAACTATACCAGGCCACATGCCCTCAACATGGGGGGGGGGGTGCTTTGATGGGAACAAGGGCCTTTTCCCCACAACCCTGGCTGGTGGTTGTGGGGGTCTGCGGGCGGGGGGCTTATTGGAATCTGGAAGCCCCCTTTAGGGCCCCCAGATACCGCAACCCACAACTATAAAAAAAAAGTATAGTGTGAAAAAGGACAGGCGACAGTCTTTGACAAGTCCTTTATTAAAAGAAGGAAAATAAAAGAATGTTCCCCAAAGTTGATCAATCAAAATAAAGGACTTGTCAAAGATTGTCCAGTGTTTTTTCACGCTACACTTTTTTTTTTTCGTGAATGGATAGCGGTACCATGTACCACATACTCATTCACATACGGGGGGGGGGGGGGGGAGATTCCAATAAGCCACCCGCCCGTAGACCCCCACAACCACCGGTCAGGGTTGTCAGGAAGTGGCCCCAGCCCCCCACCCCAAAGCACCCCCCTTGTTCAGGGCATGTGGCCTGGTATGGTTGGGGGGGGGGGGCTAGCTCATCCCACCCTTTCCTGACCTGCCGAGCTGCATGCTTGAATAAGAGTCTGTATGGATTTTGGTGTGGGGGTTCCCCTCAAAACCCATACCAGACCCAAAGGGCCTGGTATGGATAGAGGGGGGGACCCCATGCCGTTTTTTAATTATTTTTTAATTGCCGGCGATTATTTCCATTCAGCTGTCAGTGGGGAACACCGCTGACAGCTGATGACTCATAGGTTGTTAAGCACTTCGCGGCCAACCATTCCTTAACAACCCATGACAGTGCTGACATATACCAGTACATACCGCATGGCTGGACCACTACTTAATTACCGCATGCATTTAATCATTTCCTTTTGTGAATTGACTTTAAAGGTCTTTTTCTGCGGTATTTAGAGTGTTTTTGCTATTTTCGGTAAATACCGCATACTAGCAATAGTGAATTGACATATTCAGTATCACATGTGATATATGGTCATGTGACTGACTTAACTAGTGTGATAAGCTTTAGTGAATTGTACCCTTTGTCTTTCTATTGTATGAGACACGATTTATGGCACTATATTTGTTTGTTTTCTCATGTAAAATTAAAAAAAAAAAAAAAAAAAAAAAAAAAAACTTTCAAAAAAATTATATATCAAACTCCACATCACTGACCAGAAGCAATAATAAAAGGCATAATATTTGCAAAACGTGTTCTTACATGTGCACTGTAGCAGAAAGAGTGATTTAACCAGGAAATGTTCTTACAAGGTCAGTGTTTTTTGCTTATTTCTCTCTTTTTGTTCCATATTATCAGCCAAACACAGACCATCTAATGACTCAAGAAATCCATATCAGATTATCTCACCTATTCCTGTTCACTGATTATCCAGTAACTACCGGCTAGAAACCTTGAACCTTTTTAGGGACAAAGGTTAAAAAAAAAAAAAAAAAAAAAAAAAAAAAACACATTTGAAGCTCTTGATAGATTCAAAGCATTCTTGCTTTCTGTGTATATTCGTATTCACTGAGCCCACATCTAAAAGCTACCCACAGGCCCCAAAAGTGCAGGCCCCATCCGACCCCTAAAAGACCTCTACATTTATATTAAATCTGAACTCCAAATAGATATAAAAAGCGCAATGCAGATCTGTAGTCATTACAGAATTAAATGTATTTTTTAAAGCAAGCATGTCCATAACTGAAATCGAGGAGAGAGAGGTGCGCCAGACTAAGTGTAGTAAGGAGGTAACAGTTTATTGCACACAAGACTTAAAAACGCACAAGATGTGGGTGTATATCATGCATCAAGTGGCTGGCGCTCCTTTGCGGGTCCCAGTGGAAGAGAGAAGGGCAGATGAGTGTCCAGGGAGTCGCAGAGCAGGTGAAGAACCGGGCTCTGGACAGGTGTTCCTGGCCTCTCACACCAGCATTGTTTGGTCACGTATCAGAGCCAGCTTGGAGCGCAGCCAAGATGGCTGCCGAGCGGAAGTGACGTCACGACGTAGCGTGGAGCCGTAGGAAGGGGCGGTGACGTGTTTCAAAGCAAACAGCCTTTTCATCAGACTGAAATCGACTTGGTATCAGCATCTTGTAGTATTGTACAATCTGCAGAACAGAAGGGGGCAGAGAGAAGCAGCACAAGGAGCCAATCAGGCGTGATACAGTGCAAGGGAGTATGCTGACTGTAGG